AACTTTCCGACTAACAAGTTCTTTCCGGCTAAATTCCGACAGAAAACAAGAAAACCCACTAGACGTCGCAAAAATCTACAATGGCTGCAACAATAGTACTCTTAAATCAGTGGGAGAAGAAAATAAAAAAAAATCGATGGAGAAGGAGGCAAAAACCACCTATGATCCCCGGTTTTACTTCCTCGTCGCCGATGATATGAGTCTTCGACGGAATTGACGGAATGGAGGCTGGGTCGGCGGTGCTGGCGGTCTTGTGGCAGGAACGACGGCTGGACGTGATCGATGGTCGAAGGAACTTGAGTCGGCTGGGAGGTTTCACAGAAGACACGATACACAGAAAGGAACATAAAGGAAGCTGAGGGGGGGGGGGGAGGTTATCTGTAACGGCCTTTAGCGGCGACGGGCATTAGTGGCGACGCGTAGGCATTAGCGGCGACAACCTGGGGGGAAAAGTCAGCGCCTTTTCTTGTTCCATTACAATCCTACGATTAAAAACAAATCGAACGGATGGGGCTCGTTTGACGCGGATCACTATTATGTGACTATTAGCGGCGACACATGGCATTAGGGGCGACATGTAACGCGTCAATTACATGTCGCCGCTAATGACATGCGTCACCGCTAATGCCCCCATTTCTTGTAGTGTGCGCCCCAACCTAAAGGAAGACTTAATTTTATGGAATAAGTCTTCTAAATCTCGCAGACATTCTAACCCGAAAAAACCAACCCTTTGGAGACTAGAATGATTGTTTTATTCTTTAGCGGTTTTTTTCATCTCCATCTCCACCAACACCTATGTCATCTTTGCCACCACTTCTGTTCCCACCTCAACCACCAACCACCCCAGCCATCTCCACCACCATGCCACTTCCACAATTTCTATCATGGCCACCGACACCACTTCTGCCAACTTCGACACTACCCACCTAATCATTATCTTCACCACCAAAAGTTAACGAGGACTAAATTAGATCTTAATAAAAACTAAAACATAAATTTATATGTAACATCCCGACTCTCAGGTATAAACTTTCAGTCTTATATTTCCAATTCTAAAAGTCGACTCGACGAGTTGGATGCCCCGACTCGTCGAGTAGGCACGGTTCTGATCGCGGGTTTTAAGTGACCAACGCGGCGAGCTGGAGGACGGACTCGGCGAGTTGGAGCTGGAATGAGAAACCCTAATCCCCAGGGTTTTGTACCCTATTTAAAGGATGATTTGCCCCTTTCGCCTCCCCTTACAGCCCCTTGTGAGTCCAGAAACCCTAAATCACTGTTTTCTCTCTTTTTGTGTGATATTAAGCCTTGTGGTGAATTGTGGAAGGAAGATCTTGAAGTACTCAAGCTTGGAACAAAAGGAAGGCTGTAGATCCGAGCTCTTATTCATCTTAGCACCGTTTTTGAGGTAACAAGTTGTTACCATGACCTTCATCTATCTAGATCTATGCATGTATGAGATTGGGGCCACTTTGGCAATGTTGATATGTTGTTTTGGGTATTAGGCATGATCTGAAGTTGCAACTTCAGATCTAGGCTTATCTTGGTTTGTAAGATCATAAAGTTTCAGCCTTTAGTGAGTTAATACCTTCTTCATCCCTTAGAACCTTTCTTTAGCTTGATTTGGGCCATTATCACCTAGCATGTACGTAAAGTTTGCAACTTTACGTAAGAAGCATGCCTTAAGAGCTTAGATCTGCATTATGGAGCTTTAGAGTGGCTTAAAAATCATCTGGATGGAGAAAGGACTGAAGGGACTCGATGAGTTGCATAGCCAACTCGGCGAGTTCGATGAAGATTGTCGTGCAAGGATTTCTGCGTGGACTCGACGAGTCAGTAGAGTGACTCGGCGAGTCAGCTAGGGTTTTCCATACATTTGGATATGCATGAACTCGGCGAGTTGCGGGGAAACTCGACGAGTCAACCGGGGATTTCACGACTTCTCGAGTTCAGGAAGGACTCGACGAGTCGGTGAACTGCACTCGACGAGTCGGGTCAACATGAATTGTTGACCTTGACTTTGACCAAGGATTGACTAGTTGACTTCTGGGGTATTTTGGTAAATTGGAAATTTATGGAAATGATTTTATGCTAAATATAGGTGGTGGAGTTCATAGTCGTGGTTCGAGAGTTTGGGTTTGTCACTTTGATTCGAGCTAGTTGAGAGGTGAGTTCTCCTCACTATATCAACAGGGTCTACGGCACCAAGGCCGACCCTTTATGATTTACATCCTGGTTTAGGATGGTTGTTATGTTATTGATCTGTTAGATTTCATCCTGGTTTTAGGATGGTTGCTATGCTAGTAATCTGTTAGATTGATATCCTGGTTGTAGGATGGTTGCTATGTTAGAGATCGGTTTGATCGGTATCCTGGTTATAGGATGGTTGCCATGTTAGTGATCTGTTAGATTGTACGACTATCTGTTATTGCATGCTAGCGTATGATATTTATGTGCACATGTTTATTGGTTTGAGGAAAGGGTTGAGGCAGGTCCTGCTGTGTGCAGTAGGCCAAGACACCCTGGGCGGACCGGGTAGACTGTAGGCCCGGGCCGGGCAAATCTAGTCAGGCCGAAGGCCCATCGAGCGTTCCGGATAGGCTGAAGGCCCCGAGGAGGGCGGTTCAGACGTGCCGAGAGCTCGGAGAGCGGTCCAGATAGACTGAGGACCGGGATTCGGTCCAGTCAGACTGATGACTCATTATGCATGTTGTTTGCTTATATGTTTATATGATATGGATATATCTCTATGGCGTTGGTATTTTGGGGGTAACTCACTAAGCCTTCGAGCTTACATTTATCGATTATTGTTTCACGTACTTTTGATGATCGCGGGAAGACGAAGGCGTGATCGTATCGCTCCTCACACTTTATGATTTTATGTTTTGATTATGGGATACTCTTACAACATACTATTTTGAAAACAAGTTTTGTAATAACTATGAGTTTTGAAATGTTTTAAAAAGTTTAAATTTGGCATGATTTTTATGGATGTTACATTATAAAAATTTATGTATATGTATATCCTTTCTTTAAATATATATTAAAATTGATATGTTTTTTGCAAAATAAAAAAAACATTCTTAAAATAAAAATATTAATTATAAAAATATCAACAATACTAATATTGCATTTAATAATAAAAAATTGAAATTGGATTATTTATTAAAATAATAAAAGTTTATTTTATTTAGTTTGATATGTTTATATGGTTGACGACTGTGGGTCTAAAAATATATGTATTACGTTCTTTTTTATATTGGAAAAAGACTTACAAGTCCAACGAAGTTTCCAAACCGTTCAAAAAAACACAATCATGTTTTGTCGGTTCAAAACAACTCAACGAACTTAACATTTTGTCTAAAAAAACAAACGAAGTTTCCAAACCATAAAAAACCTCAATCATGTTTTGTTTGTTCAAAAGATTAAGTTCCTTGGGTTTTTTTTAACAGACAAAAATGATTGGGGTTTTTTGAACAGTTTGGAAACTTCGATGGTATGACAAGTCATTTTCCCGATATGATAATAAACCACGTCATCTGTTTCTCTTCTTTGACTTCCATAAAATTGAACAAAAATGTAACTTAGTTGGGCTTTTTAGACAAAATGTTAAGTTCGTTGGGTTTTTTTGAAGAAACAAAACATGATTGAGTTTTTTGAACGGTTTGAAAACTTCATTGGGCTCGTAAGTCATTTTCCCTTCTTATATTCCATGTTCTTTATATATATATATATATATATATATATATATATATATATATATATATATATATATATATATATATATATATATATATATATCAAAGTATTATAATTTATGTAGACTTTTGTAACCCAAAAAAACAACTCTTTTACTTTTTTTTAGCGGTTCTTTTCCACCTATACCACCAACAACATCATTGTCTGCCGCTACTGTAGCATGTAGCCGTCACCACCGCCACCCCCTCCACCACTACTACTGCCACCTTAACAACCAACCACCTTTGCCATCTTTGACAACTCTGTCATCTCAATCACCACCTCTAGAAATTCCTCCTCAGCCACCACCACCAACCACGGTTGCCGTAAATACCGCCACCGTCACCACCTCAACCAACATCACCTCCGCCACCATCGATGCAAACGTTACCACCACAACCACCACTGTCATTTTCTACCATTTAGAAGTCAATGTGGTTAATGTGTGTATGTATATATGATTTGTTTGTTTAATATGATACTTAGGTGCGAGACTTATGTATTACATGAGTTTATTTAAAAGAAAAACTAAATATAAAATTTTAAACATTTGAGAAGTATGAATTTATAAGAAAAGTGAGAAAATATTGAATGATAAAAATTAAAGTGTTTTTTTTTCTCTTTTAAATTTAGACAAATAATTTAGATAAATAAATTAAAATAATTAATAAATTTTTAATTTAGTAAATTTGAAATTAGAATGAAAGTTCATTAATAAAATTGATATGTATTTATTATTGAATTTAAATATTATCTAGAATTTAATAAAATGAAAAAACCATAGTGCAATAAAAATTAATTTAAAATAACCACAAAATTACATGTAGCAAAATAAATGAGAATATAACATGTGGTAAAAATATATTTATTTATTAAGGATGATTAATTAATTATGATCTATGATCAATGTGGTTTAATATCAAACACTGCAGAAGTAACATGTATATGGGAGGATTAATTAATTGTGAGAATATAACATGTATATGGGAGGATTTGAACAACAAACACTGCAGAAGTAACATCTAGGCTTCTTTTTCTTCAAATATGGTTCGTAAGCGTTATACACAAGTTTTACGGTAGTATTTGATTGACCCCTTTCCTCCAAATGACGAATTTGTAGCTAATCACAACTTTTTGTCGATCAGTTTTATTTTTACATATTGCATGCTCCTACAAATCAAACATTCAATTACACCTGTGAAAATTAAATTGACGAGACGACTAAGAAAGACTTGGAACTTGCGACAACGATTCACCATAAAAGGTCACACAGTCACACGAGACCAGCAATGATCAAATCCAGTCAATTCTCGCAGCAGCCATGAACATGATCGTAAACGACTTTACCCACCAATCGAAGCGCATCCTTCTTATGTGAAACAGTTCCAACTGTTGCCAAAGTAGTAATCTCCTTCGTCCCCTCCGGCACTTCCCAATCAAACGAGTAAACAAGATTCGATAGAGCCAGCTCTACCATCACAGCTCCCATAGTCATCCCCGGACACCCTCTCCGACCAGAACCAAACGGAATCAGCTCAAAATCATTTCCTTTGTAATCAACGCTACTTCCCATGAACCTCTCTGGGTCGAACTCTTTGGGGTTTTCCCAACATTTCGGGTCTCTCCCCACTGCCCAAGCGTTCACGTACACCAGAGTCTTCTTTGGTATCTCGTATCCATCTAGAATACATCGATCTCTCGATTCACGTGGGACTAAAAGGGGTGCAACTGGGTACAATCTATATGTCTCTTTGATTACTGCTTTCAGATAGTCGAGCTTATAAAGATCATCTTCATGTACTTTCCCTTTGTCCCCGATTGCATTCCTCACTTCTTGTTGAACTTTCTTTAAACATTTAGGGTTCTTGATCAGCAAAGTCATCGTCCACACTACTACCGCAGCGCCTGTTTCTGTCCCACCTATCAAGATATTCTGAAAAATTCAAACACAGTTATATAATACTAGAAAATTGGGTGTTAGATGTTTAAAAACGATTAGGGGATTGAACTACGCACCATGAGCACAGCTTTGATGTTATCAAAGGTTAGATTCATGGAGGAATCTGAGTTTTGTTTGAGTTTTAGCAAGATATCAACCATATCTTTTTGCATTTCATTTGGCCTGTTTCGATTTAGATGCTCATCGATGAGATCTTGATAGCACTCATCCATGTCTTTGAAATTCTTTTCGAGTCTAGACATGCTTCCATTCAGTTTATCAAGCCACCCCATGAATGGAAAATAATCTCTATAATAAAAGTTAACAAGCAAAGCTTGACACTCTAGCAAAAGCTCATGAAATCGTCTCACTTCTTTCTGTTCATCATCGTAAACATATGGCCTCTTCCCAAAAGCTACCCTATAAACAATATTACTCATCAGAATCATCACAATTTCACTTAAATTGATCACTTCTTGTTTGATCGAAATTCGATTCTTAATAGTATCAATCATAGTGAATACTTCCTCTTCACGAACAAAACAAAACGAGTTCACTTGTTTCAAAGAGAATAAATGAACGTTACAAATCTTTCTCATTTCTCTCCAATACTCATTGTAAGGTGACCAAGCTACATCTTTATTGTTGTACGAGATCTTTTTCGTGCCTGTGAACAGAGGCCTCGTGCAGAAAACCAAATCTTCGGTTTTCAAGACTTGTTTGGCCATTTCAGCAGAGGAAACAACGAGGGTCTGGATGAGACCAAGGCGCAGGGACATTAAAGGGCCATAACGTTTGGAGAGACGCCATAGGTGGCCTGATAGGTTGGAGGTGTCGAGCTGATGCAGGTTTCCGATTATAGGAAGTCCGGGCGGTCCTGGTGGCAGACGGTGGACGGTTTTGGAAAGAAAGCTTGTAAGTTTGTATAGAATGATGAGGAAGAAGGCAGGGAGAAGTAATAGCGTGATTAAAACTGACACCACTTCCATATCTATTTTGTTGAAGATGAGGTCGAAGTGAGGAAGGCTGCATGTATATATCTTAATTTATATAGTACTTCTCTCCCTCGATAATGCAATAATCATGAACAAAATGATGGGTGAAACTTTGACTTGGTGGTTGCGGGCCACATCAGCAAGAGATAGACTGTCATGCACGCCTCCTTTCATGGAACTGAAGGCAGTGAAGTAGCCAGCTGTGGCCCTGTGTGATTATACGTGTTTAACTTCAAGCCTCATTTGATCTCTTTTTTTTAGTCGTACGTCAAAAATCAGAAGTCAAACTCCCCATATATATCCGTTTCCGCCATCAGTGAACCTCTATATTCGGAACGACAATCAACGGGTACACCGCAGATAATCAACAATGGCGGTTCCTTCTGTGAGGTTGGTTTTTCAGAGCATTTATAATGAAAGCTATGGCCGGATCCCAGACCCCCCAGGTTTTTAGCGTCATAATGCGGTAGACTTTGAGAAGGCAAATGAAAATAAGATTGAAGCTCAACCTGCCTTATTTTGTTTAACTCAAATTCGAAAATGTAAAAGTAATATAGTGATGTGCTAGTTACTAAATTAATAACAACTTTTTGATATCCGAAGAAAACCATAATTTGTTTATTTGGGGAAAATAATATTTGCTTATTACATTTGAGGAGATTCTTTTGAAGTAAAAAAAAATTATGTGTTTCTAATTAATTTAATTTGTAAACATACATTTTATGAGTGTGTAAAAATTAATCCCAACTTATATATGTCTAGCTAATTAATCCATAGATGGTATGTGACCGATTAGGCAACATTAGTGATTAATGCATGTCTACACAATTAATGAAGTTGTGGAAACCGATTAATTTTTAACATTGTAAAGAAGTTGTATCTATACTATTATATAAAACATATCAATTATTTCTTGAATAAGAGTATGATTGTCACCAATATGTACAAGTAAGAAATGTCGATTTCTATACAATCCATACTTTTACATACGTTTTTTGAAATTTTTTTAAGAGGTATTAAAGTTATGGCTTTTTAAAAGGATGTTTTATAGTTTTATCATTCTCTCTCACTAAATTATATATAAAACCTCTTTCATATATCCCTTTGCTTGCAAAAACCTATGATGTGCTAGATCCGATTGGAAATATCATTAAGTGAGACATTAGGCATGTAGGTATACTACCACACGACATTTGATGTGTGTGATGAACACCACACCGATCGGGTGTAAGGAGCTGCAGTGACCACCTACGTAAGGCTACTTCATCAAGTGTTTCTGTTTCTTTTTTCTTCTTTTTTATTCTATATATATATATATATATATATATATATATATATATATATATATTAAAAACTTATAAAAATATACTAAAATTCTTGGTTTTGTATAATATTGATATATTATTTATACATATTTGAATAATAAAAAAAAATATGAATGGAATGAAAGACGACCATTTCCTATTACCAAGACCATTTCCTGTTAACAAGGTTGTAACAATCGTTCGACTTTAGTTAGTCAGTGGACTGAGGTTAAAGGATTAATCGGCTAGACGGATATTAATCAAGGGATTCACCGGGGACTATTAATTGCTAATTTATTTAATTTTTAAAAATTAAATATGACTAATATCATATAAAGTTCATAAAAACCACTAATATCATAACAAAATAGGTTAATATGATTAATACAATACTAATCATACCTTAAATAGTTTCTATTGAGATATAACTTCTTCAAAGTGTTAAAATTTCATCTCGAAGATTAATCAGGATCTAGTCGGGATTTTTACAACACTACCTTTTAGTGACAAAATGAAGAGAAAAGAAGGTGGCGATAAAGGTGACAACGATAAGATGGCAAACAAAAAGTGAAATGTAATGAAAAGGTACACTCTTCAACCTTAATAGTTGGACTCGAAAACTATGTTGTAAGTATCATTTACTCAAATTTTCCCTTGGTTTTATGTTTATTAATCATAAAAAAAAATGTTTGGGGATTCAAGATTCCACTAAAATTAATAGGCTGTCGTGTAGTATTATGTTATTTTGGTGCTTTCTACCTTTTTTTTTTTAACTTTGTCATCATTTTTTTTAAAAATGACCATTATGTTTATGTCCATAGGGTTTCTTTTGTTGGAGGAAATTGTAGTTTTTTGTAGAATTGATGGAGTTTATGCAAGAAGTTGAAATGAAGGCATTTTATCAACTTCAATTTTTTTTTTTTTTTTTGCAATTTACATTTTTGGTTCAATTTTCATACAAATGGAACCGATCAATCATCTTCTAAGTTGAAATAATATTGATGAAGCCATGCTTTCTTCATTATATAAGTTTGAAGCTTTACTTGTGTTTTTCCCCACTGTCACTATAATTACTGATTACCATGTTTTTGTAACAAGATGGTATGTAGACGAGCATGTTTGGATGTGCTTATGATCTTCTGGATAATCATTTTTTGTTAGTGTTAGTAAGCATTTGTGCATATTGAATTATAGTTTATGTAAACAGAATTCCTGTTTATCCATAGGCAAAGAGTACGTTGTGCAGGTTAATCACTTCTTGATGTTTCTTGATTCTCTTACCCTCTAATCCATCATGTTGCATCCTCTTTTCTTGCATCCACCCTCTTGCTTACGCCTTACCCTGACGGAAATTTTTCTTTTTTCTTTTATTAAACTTGGTGTTTTCTTTTGAATTTCATAGGTTGATTAAGTTTTGACTATTGTTATTTGATTTATGCATTTTTGAAAAATAGAATAAAATTAATGCATGTATAATACTCTCCAGACTTGTGAAGATGGAGTGGTTTTCCCTTAATGATTGTGGGATCTTGATCCTGGATTCAAACACATGTAGAGAGAGTGGTTTTTGCGCAATGATATTGTTATATGATGGGTACAACTTTAAAGATTAATGTGTATTGTTTCCTGAAAAACCACATTATAATTTGGTTTGAGGATCTAAACTATAGGTTATATTTGGAAAATGATTTATCTAGGGAGCTAGAAAAGCAAAATCGTTTTGATCAGATATGGCCGGATATATATAAATTTAGTTGAGAAAGTTTGTATTATTCTAACAAATTGACGATATGATCATTCCAAATAGTTTGACCAAGTAGTTCATGTTTTACTTTTGGACGTCAAAATAAATGTATGTTTGTTAGTCAAATGTTTAACATTCCACGGTACAACACCATGCTATTAAGTATAAATATTAAAATATTAGAAAAAACACTTTAATACATTATACTATGAAGTATAATTATTAAATATTGAAAAAAATAGAAAAAAAAAACTTCACTACATTAAAAAATAATAATAAGAAGAAAACGGTTGTCCTTTGTAATCGGTATTATACCATTAGTTATACCATTAGTTTTATAAAAACATGTTTTTAGTGAATGGTGAAAGAATTTTTCATTCAACGGCACATAGCCTTTAGGCTGCTTTGTATGGGGCTAAGCGTCGTGGAGAGCACCTAGGTGGCAACTCCTTGACGTTTTGTGGCCACGTCGGAAATACCACCCCAGCCTCATGTCCCATCTTCTGCTGCCGAAAGTGCAACACAAAGGAACGTCCTGTGGAGGAGAGGGAACGGTCATATGACCATTAAATGCTCATTTTTTTTCCTTAAAAATATTTTTAGAAATTATTCCTTTTTAATCTATAATTACATACATATTTATTAATTATTATTTTTACATAGTTTCATCTCTTCTTTCTATTATACAATTACACAAACTACAAAATCAAAATCCTAACACTCTTCCACCAAAACCCAAACCCACAAACAAGTCATACATATTTATCATTTTCTTTACATCATTTCATCTCTTCTTTATATTACACAAACACAAAAACTAAAATAATAGAATCAAAACCCGAACACCCATCAACAAATACATATTAAAAAAAGGTGCTACTATGCAAACCTCATCACTCACATAAATTGACACCCTTTAGACACATTTATTTAAAAGCCAAACAACTTTTAACATTAAAATCCGTGTAACACCTTAATGCCACCTCCAATCATGCCACCTCCAATGGTAAAACATAAAAATGATGAGTTTTAAACCCTAAAATGGTGTAACCAATCCAACCACACACTAAAATGATGTATTTTAGAGGCCAAACATGTTGTCCTTCATATTTGATGTTTGAGTGTATCTCACACACTAAAATGATGTAATTTAGAGGTTGGTTGAAGTGATAAAGAGAAAAACTAACACAAAAATGGTGTTTTTTAGTGTCCATTGGAGTTGCTCTCATAAACACTAAAAAACACAAAAATGGTAACATTTTAGCACAAAAATAGAGTTTTCATTCCAACCACACACTAAAATTTTACATTAAAACCTTATTTTAATAATATTATATTAAAAAAACAATTTCATTATTATTATAATACTATATATGTTATAATCTGTCACACCCCCAAACTAGACGGCGGAAACGTTCGGGGGTGGAGGACTTCATTTGTAGTACCACAACACATGCATTATAGTAATCAGAGTACAAACAACCATTGTATTTAAAAAAGTATAAATATTTACATGTGTTTCAACATTGTATACTGAAACTAAATAGTTGTACAAAAGAAGAAGACAAGACATAAATAGCTCCATCTTCTCAAAAGCTCGGGGGTACCTGTCTACTGTTTCCCTGAGAATACAAGTAATTTGAAAAGAGAGTATCAACATAAAGTTGAGTGAGTGCATAAGTATTTATGTTTGTAAGAGTATTTTCTGTTTCTTGAATATGTAAATTGTTTCCAGAAAATCCTATATTTTCTGTTGTATATGAAAAGTAGTTTTTGTTGTATAAAGCTGTTCTAATTGTAAACCAATGTTCTGTATTTGTAATCCTTTTGTAAACTTGTATCTGAGAGTATATCTGGTTTCACCAACTGTTATTGTAAACTGTAATGTATTACTGTAAAGTGTATCTTGTAAACTAGTACTTTGAAAAAGTACATAAGTTAGTTAA